GTATAGGCTAACTGTAGTTTTATTTTAGAAAGTCATTTTATAAATTTTAGAGTTTTTTGCACAATAGAATGTGAGTTTTAATTGTGAGTTTTTACTATATTATACCTAATGAAATTTGCTTTACATTTATTATACAATTTTTTTACATTTCAGAGGTTAAATTCATTTAATTAATACAAAAATCTTTATTTATGACTTACATATAATTCATTGTTTATTAGAAATTAAAAAAAAAGCTGTATGCTTCATAAAATAAAACATAGAAACAAAGACAACAATTTTTTGCCGACCTCAAAAACATTCAGGTTGGCAGTTAGGTCGGCTCTGATGTTTGAAAGCATCTTGAGCCCAGTAAAACTGTACAATTCTCTCAAGTTTATTTACATCTTCGTAAATCTGCAGCGATAGTTTTTGGAGATTTACATGAAGTTTTTTTCTGGGAACACTTGTTGGATCAAAAATTTCTTTAATCACATGAGCCATGTGCCTTTCATAAATGTGATGTTTGCACATTAACCAAAGAACCGGTCTTTTAAGGGCATAGAAAATAATAATGCTTACAGCATCTTTATTTTTACCAGTGTTCCTGGATGTTGTGTCAGAGCATCATCAATACCTGTTCTCATTGAATTAGCTTGACAATTTATGTCTAGAGACATTTTCTAAAATCAATTTATTTCATTTAAAAATTCTACATTAGACGTTTATATATACATATATACATTATATATATATATATATATATATAAATATGTATATATAAATATATATATATATATAAATATATATATAAGTATATATATATATATATATATATATATATATATATATATATATATATATATATATATATATATATATATATATATATATATATATATATATATATATATATATATATATATGTAAAACCCTAGGAAAAATGGGTTCGGCGATAATTTGCCGACCTCAATCTTTTAGAGGTCGGCAAAAAAAAATTTGATACAAAGGTCTCACCTTAAAACATAGAAACAAGATCAACAATTATTTGCTGACCTCAAACACTTTAAGATCGGCATTGCCGAATGCTGACCCTAATTCCAAGGGTAGTATATGTTTATATACTGTTATAATCAGTCAGGGACTCAAAGAAGGTAAGGATGATGTGTGTATCATCACAAAATTTTCATAGACCACCTTTAGTCACTCATTAAAATAAAAAAAATTTAATTTTTAAAGTAAAATAAAAATTAAATAAATTTTTTTTTTAATGTAAAAAATTGAAAACAAAAAATATTAAAACAAATAAGAAGGAAAAAAAGAAAAATATTTTTTTTAAATTTAAAAACAAATATAATATATGTCAGGAATTAAGGAGATGCATTTTAGTTAGTCGTTTAAACAATAAAATGCTTTTTAGAAAATGATTCCTTATTGATAGACCACAGTTTATAATTAGAAAACTTGCTGTGACTTAATTTTCCCTAGTTGATAGTTGTTTCTGGTATTTGAATGCAGATTATATTTTTCATAAAATGATATCAAGAAATCTGAAAATTTTGAAATCTTGGTAGTAGATTTTTATACTTATACATAAAAATATTTTTTAAAAATTAATATGTTAAGTTTCTCAATATCTAAAACCATCATGCTTTTCATCACTGGGGTCGAGTTTACTAACTTATTTAAATAATTAACTGCTTTGTATGCATGGTTTTGCAGACATTGCAATTTTAGCAATTTGGTTTTATGGGTGCTGGCCCATACAATATTTGCGTAAAAAAGCAAACTATGAGCAAAATAAAAGTAAAGCAAATTACAAGATTTACTCTCAAGAAAAGGTCTTGACTTATATAAAACACCTATTACAGAAGACACCTTCGTTTCAAAAAGACCAATATGGTTTATCCATGACAAATTTTCATCAAAAAGTACTCCCAAATATAATAGAATACATAGTATACAACTAATAATGAAAAAATAGTGAAACTGGTAAATAAATTTTATATACAAGTTCAAACCTGTGTTTTAGATAAATTTCTTGGTTGAAAACAACTTTTAAACTTGATTTCTACTTTAATTATATAATGACTTAAGTTAAATTAACGCATCATTAGTTTTTATTGTTTATAAAACACGCATTATTTTTTATTATTGTTAGCCAGGTTTATAAAAATTGACTTGGATAAAAATCAATTTTAAATCAAAATTTTTTTATTATAAATTATTATATAAAAGTAAACTCACCTAAATAACCCCAAAATAAACCAAAAATAACCTAAATAAGCTTCCCCTAGTGAAGGCTCCCCTTGAGCTAAAGACTTAATTTTTGTTTTGTTTTTCCTTATTTTCTTTATATCAAATATTCCGCACATTAAAATTTGATTTATGATATATTTTTGGATACCCTAATATATATATATATATATATATATATATATATATATATATATATATATATATATATATATATATATATATATATATATATATATATATATATATAATATTCAAGTTATTTACTTAAATCTTCAATTACCTCTATTCCATTAGTTAAACTTGATTGATCTGAAAGCCCAAAATTAAATGGAAGTTTTTGCTTTGAAGATATTGCATCTATGAATACAAAATGTTAAATTAAATAAAAGAGAGAATACACATCAATTAGAATCAATCCAACCAATTACATTAAAATCAGATTAAATTTAAAAACAGAATTTTGTACAGGATTTAAGTACAAAAACCAAAAATATGTTTCTTATATAAAAATGTGCATTCTCAGCCATTACCTAAGCTTTCAACTTGATTTTCAGCCTAATATCACGAGTCTACCTAATTATAATTCTGTAGATTCTTTTTAGAGGCTGCATGTTATCAAACTTTATAGCCAACGTTTCACTGCCATACATACTCATTGAGCATATGATCTGTACAGTTTTCTTATATCACATTTATATGATAAAGTGTTAACACTTTATCACACTCTTGCTCTCTATGTCTCCTTCATTTTCTATCTTTTTGTACCTGCTAGCTAATAAAAATTTACCAATATTTTCTTATGATTACAATCTATAATTTGTCTACTAAAAATTAAAATGACAATTTTTTGATGAATTAGGTTAGGAGGCTCAACAGTTTTATCAACTATATTTTAGTAGCACACATATTTTAAACTGCAGTTAAAATATATGTGTTACTATATTTGTCACATATATTTCAAGAAAGTTAAATTTTGAAATCTAAAACAAAAATTGCAAGGGCATTCAACCTACTCCAAATAAACATCGTTTTTAACCGAAATCAGTAAAAAATGGAAAAATTAAGGAGCAATGGAAAAAACTATTATTTTAGTTTTGATTGTAGAAAGTAATTATGGTAACTATATAAAAATATTTCCGTTTCAAAATTTAAAAAAAAACATATCAACATGAGAATAAAGATTATTCACATGATAATAAAAAACATGAAAATGTTGTATTCAATTGATTTTTATTATATTTATAACTATATTAGCTATTTATTTTTTTGTATTCATAAAAAATTTTTATAAAAAACCTTGTATTTAACTTATCATAAAGTTTTTCACTATACCACTTTTTATACATTAAAATACTACCTTAACCAATATAAGTGCATATTATTCCTAACATAAATTACTTTAACAGCATACATTTTACTGTGATTATCTTAAGATAATGTATGCTGTTAAAATGAAGTAAATTTAAATCATTTTAACAGCATACATTTTACTTTGATTATCATTAACTTAAATTATTTTAACAATCAATCAATATATTTTTAACAAAAATAGATATCGCTTACAGTATAGTATAAATGTTACAATAATTTTTTTTGTGAAGGGACAAAAAAAAAACAACATCCCGAAACAAACAAACAAAAAACTAATAATAAAAAGAACTCCCCAAAAATAAAATAAAAATAAAAAAAAATACTACTACTACTACTACTACTACTACTACTACTACTACTACTACTACTACTACTACTACTACTAATAATAATAATAATAATAATAATAATAATAATAATAATAATAAAAGACAAACACAACAACCAAGTAACAAAAATTTAAGTTATTTATTAAAAACTAATAATAAAAAGGACTCCCCAAAAATAAAATAAAAATTAAAAAAAACTACTACTACTACTACTACTACTACTACTACTACTACTACTACTACTACTACTACTACTACTACTACTACTACTACTACTACTACTACTATAATAATAATAATAATAATAATAATAATAATAGCAATAATAATAATAGCAATAATAAAAATAATAATAATAATAATAATAATAATAATAATAATAATAAAAGACAAACACAACAACCAAGGAACAAAAATTTAAGTTATTTATAATAATAATATTAAAACTAATAAAAATAAGTACGTAATAATACTGAAAATAGATAATAATAAAAATAATTAACAGCATATATTTTACTGTGATTATCCCTATTTAAATTATTGCATTTAACAATCTATAAATTTTTTATAAAAATAAAACAAAATAAAATAATGTCAAAATAAAATAAAAAAATATATCAAATTTTTATAAATACAACTTTAAAAAAAAAATTGTCATATTTGCAGCTAAAAATATGATTTTCACAAATAAATGAATACTTTGATTTTATTTTTTTATATACAATAGATAAATATTTACAACCTGCAATTGGTGAATTTACAACAACAAAACCACCATCAGATAAGTTATTTGCAGCGATTAATCCATGAATTTCAATATTTAGAAGTTTATTTAGAATTATTTTATCATTGTCCTTTGATTTACTGTGAGGAAATTCTGAAAATAGCTAAATAAAAAAAAATTGAAAAATACTTTAAATTCTATAAAATCCAACAACATTTATTTATGCACAAATCATATATTTGGCCAGTTCATAAAACAGTTTCTGCAGAGTGCGTTATAAGGAAATAAATTTGTCTATTATAAATATAATTGAAATGAAGAAACATTTTAGCCAATAATATTCTTTAAAAGCAAAAGTTTCAAAAAAATAAATAAAATTAAATAAAAAAAGAAATATTTTATATCTAAATTATATTAAATAATAGTTTGATAAATAAAATATTGAATTAAAAATTAAATTTTATGTACAATAAAAATTAAATTATTTTGTATAAATAAAATAAAAAACTTATTTTGCTATTTACTTAAAACCATTTTTCATAATGGCCAACTTAACAAATTGCATATAACAATTTATTAACTTAAATATAAATACCTATTTAAGACTTTCATAAAATATAAACCTTATCATAAAGAAATCTATCAAGAATATTTGAGCCATTTGCTGATGAAACAATTGTATTTTGAGGAGTAAAAGTTCCTGATGAAACAGTAGCTATATTCTGTGAAGTAAAAGTTGATGAAACAGTTGCTATATTCTGTGAAGTAAAAGTTGATGAAACAGTTGCTATATTTTGTGAAGTTGTTGAACTGGAAGAAATACTTGCTGCTGTAGTTTTTTGTGACAACGCTATAAAAATAGATATTATATATTAAAATACACAAAATGTTATTATAAAGATAGATATTATATATATATATATATATATATATATATATATATATATATATATATATATATATATATATATATATGTGTGTATATATATATATATATATATATATATATATATATATATATATATATATATATATATATATATATATATATATATATATATATATATATATATATATATATATATATAAATTACCTTTACAAAACATTATATTATCTTCGGGATGACCCTGTATATATATATACATATATATATATATATATATATATATATATATATATATATATATATATATATATATATATATATATATATATATATAAACAGGGTCATCCCGAAGAAGTCTTCCATGGGGCATCCCCCCTCCATGGAAAATCTCTTTGGGACGGCCCTATATATATACTTTTTTGCCAACTAGAGACACCTAAAAAAAAGGCCCTCAATATTTGGAATTTGCCAACTCTAGTTCAAAACTTGTGCTAATGTGCGAACTCAAATGTGCCAACTCTGATGTGCCAACTCAAATGCTTATATGACAGCTCTGGGGCACCCCCTCCTTTTTTTATTATTAGATAGCAGTTTCCAGGTCTGCTTTCAAAAAAAAGGGTGGTTTTACCATGGTGGATAGCTGAAATTTTATTTTACAATTTAAATTGAAGCACAAAATACTTACAAAATACTCAGTTTGTTTATGTGTACATTATAAGTTCATGCAAACTTGGAACTAGAACTTTCATGAAAAATCATTACCCTTTACAAATCATTACCTTTACATATCATTACCTTTTACAAATTCATTACCTTTTACAAATAATTACCTTTTACAAAACATTACATTTACAAAACATTACCTTTTATAAATCATTACCTTTTACAAATCATTACCTTTTACAAACCATTACCTTATACAAATCATTACCTTTTACAAATTATTACCTTTTACAACTCATTACCTTTTTTAAAACATTACCTTTACAAAACATTATCTTGTACAAATTATTACCTTTTACAAATTATTACCTTTTACAAATCATTACCTTTTATAAAACATTACCTATACAAATCATTACCTTTTACAAATAAAACTGCTTAGTTTTATTTTTTAAAAGCAATCAAAAGAAGACAGCATTCAAATAATTTACTTTTAACACCACTATTAACTGCTTTTTTTATTCAATGTGTAATATCTGAAATAAGTTATGATTTTCCATAAAATTAAAAAACCTAAAAGTTAAAAATTCCAAACATATTAAATGAATAAAAAATTTTTAAAAAATTTAAAATACATGAATAACTATGAAACAATAAACTCTGGTGTCAAGATTGTTATTAATTTTTTTAAATGTAATCTGTCTGATTAAATGGCTGAAGCAGTGACAGGGGCATTGACACCATTTGTTGGTATTGCTAACTTTTAGATATGGATGCAACTCTAAACATTCGTATATATATGCTTATGGTAATTTTTTTTTCTTTAAAAGATTGAAATGATTGAACCCTGGAAGCAAAAAGCCTAAAATTCGGCTCCCTTACCTCAACTTTGAGAGCAACAGGTTTTTAAAATACTTTTTTAACTAACCTTAGCTCAACTTATATTTATCACTGATTTAAAACTTTGATTATTAATCTCTTAGTGTTCAAAAATTAAGATCTTTTTAAAATTGTAAACTCATCAATTTGAGGGATAATTATACTTTATATGGCTTTAAATTTTTAACACTAAAAGAATATTACTATATATATGACATAAATATGTAGAAATGTTTGAAGTTTGCCCCATGTTTGAAAATTAGTGTACATCAACAATGTCAACATTCCTGTTTAAACAACAAATTTAAAAAAGCATCTGCCAAAAATAAAGCTAGCAACAACAAATCTGAATCTGACACAGAATTTGGTTTTCACGGTACTGATATGGTTAAAACATTTCCGCTTTTAAGTAAAATTGCGCCTGCAATTTATCATTACGAATTTCAGAAATATAGTCAAATAGTTTTAAAAAACTTTAATAAAAAAATTAATGTTCTCCAAGAATAAATTAAAAAACACAGTAAAATAATCATCCTTGACTGCAGAAAAAATAAAAAAGCCCAATGTTGAAGATTAAACAGTTCCTCTAAGTCAAAGATTCAATCAGAAGATATTGAAGGACATTTCTCTACAATTAATTAGTAGATATTTGTAGTTTGCTATCTAAATTGTTGAAAAGTGATCTCTTGGACCAGTCAAATAAGCTGCAGAAGCCAACAAAATGCAACACTTTTAACCTGAGGGAAAAAGTTCTTGTTAACAAAACATTTAACTCTTTGTAATGCAAACAACTATTTTGAGACAATATAAAGAGAGGAGGCAATGCAAAATTGTTAGCTTATAATCTTGCGACAGGTTAACCTTAACAAAAGCCAATAAATAACAACTATTGTTGTTTTATTAAAAGTAAAAGCTAAAATTAAATAAAAATTTATTTATTTAAATTTAAATATCTTTCTGTTACTTGAACTTCAGCTTCTGTAACAAATTTAAACTTTTCTGATTAATAGAGAAAATTATTAAACAATTAAATTAAAAAAAAGAGTTTCTATCAGAATAAGAAATTTTTATTTGAATTTTTTGGATTCTTAACTCTAATGGACGAGAAAGCATTAAGTAAAACATTTTTGATTACTAAACAAAAATAGTAAATCTTAAGATTGAGAAAGATATCATCCAAGAGAAAATATTCAGGATAGTCTAAATACATTTTGTTATTGTCATTGAATAGTTAATAAGGAAACTTGTCAAGTTCATGGTAATATTTGTCCTTTAAATCCACCAACTATTGTAATAAAAAAAAATTACACACATTATAATGGAGTTCAAAAAAGTTGTGAACACACTTGTTTGAAATGTGGATTTTTACCAAATGATGACAATACCTTAAAAGTGTTTCATAATTTTTTAAACATGGGGTAAGTCTTATCTGAATCTGTAAAAATGGAATTAGTTTATAAACAATATGTAAACAAGATAGATAGAAAGTTCTATTTTTAGGAATAACCTGGAAACAATGTATCAATGGGTGATTTATTGGCAATGGATATTGTGGATGGGTGATTTATTGGCAAACAATATATTCAAAAATATTCCAATACATTTTTCCATTATAGTTTTCCAAACAACTCCTATAAATATAAAAATGTCGATAGTATTATTTTTTTATAAAAAATAATGATCTAAAATAATGTTTAACAACTGTAGCAAGCTTTACACACCTTGATTGACAAAAGAACCTGCTTTAGAAGTGCCTATATTTATCACAAAAATGATTCATTCTTTATAAATAATTTTTACCAATTGTTATTAAAGGGTCAAATCATTACATTTCAACCAATTTGATGAAAACATTGTAGGTCACCATCACTGTTTTTTTTAATTTTTACAAATTGTTAAGTGCATTATGAAGAAAGGTTAAATTTTAACATTTCAGACTTCTAAGTACAACAGTTCAGAAATTAAAGCCTTTGAAACATGACACAGCAGCCCCCTCGATTTAGTCTAAATCGAGGGGGCTACTGTGTCATGTTTCTAAGGCTTTAATTTCTGAACCGTTGTACTTTCTAAATTTTAGAAAAGGGTAAAACGAACTACTTTAGAGCTATCGAACTATTTTCTAGAAATTTCTCTTTTTAAAAAAATTGATTTTTATTAACTTATCTTAAATTAGAGAAAATATATAACCTCAACTTTAGAAAAAATCTTAAAATTGCTAAATTATGCCAAAATGAAAATAACTGTAGGGCAATTCGGGTCAAGGCTATGATATATTATATATTATATAACTAAATGTCTAACTTGCGGGATTTTATTGGACAAAAATTGAAACCGCTTTTTTTTGTTTATAAGAATAGTCCGCCATTGGTAAAAAAGGCAAAAGCTGAAGGCGAAGTGTAAAATAAAAGTTAAAAATGCAAGTCAAAAGTTCCTAATAAATTAAAGATAGTTCAAAAACAAATTTTAATAATCATAAAATACTCATAAAAGTTTTTTTATGAGCCTATGTTTATTAAAAAGTATTTTAATTCATAAAAATGCTTCAAAAGCGTATGTCATTTTACTTTTCTGTTTTTAACTTTAATCCCTTTTTAATCGAAAACAAATTAAGGAATCATAAATTATTATTTTGCAAGTATTATAATTTCCGCTTAACACTTTTACGTATATAGTAACTAAATTTAAAATATATTTACTTTATTTAAGAAAAAAAAAGTTAAAATATTTGTTTACAAATATAATCCGCCATTTGTAAAAAGGGCAAAAAGCGGCTCTTCACTTTTCGGATCGCAGTTAGACATCTAGTTATATAATAATTAATATATCATTGGGTCAGGGTAACAACATCCCTTTTTGCTTACTATAACATCTGTCCAACAACATCCGAAATTTCATCGATGTATAATAACATCCGTGCAACAACATCCCAAATTTCATTGTTGTATAATACATCAATGAAACAACTACATCTGTAAATTTTTCGAATGTAACTACATCCGAAAAAAATATTTTTTAATAATGCATTATTTTAACCAGATGTAGTTACACATCTGATTTTTTTCTTATTGCATAATTCATAATTTTTTTTTTTAATTATTCAATAGACTGCCTGCTCAAACCAAACCCTCAGTCGATGTAGGAGCACTCCGTTGCGAGTCAGGCTATTTGTCAGTCGGTGTAGCAGCACTCCGTTGCGAGCCAGCCTATTTGTCAGTCGATGTAGCAGCACTTATATAATAATTATATATGTAATTTATATATGTAACTAAATCCAGAATTTTTTAATGCGTTATTCTAATCAGATGTAGTATATTTAAAATAAAAAATCAGATGTAGTTACACATCTGATTTTTTTCGGATGTAACTACGTCCATAAATTTATTGTATTTAATAATGCATTACTTTAGGCAGATATAGTTAC